CTTACTTACACTTACACATGACCATGACCTCCACGTTCGGCAGGCTTGAGAATCACAGTTAGATCACTGATTAACTGATTAGATAATGTTTTTGTCCGTCCTTTGGTGGTTGGTTGCAGTTTTAGTATACCGGGGAGAAGAATAGCTCATAGATACACACCTATGTATAAAGACAGACCCTAAACAGAGACTAAAACATAATCATTAAGTATATTGTGTAAAAGTGGGAAAGTTTAAGCTGTTGATTGATAACAACAAATGATGATGAGTCAGCCAATAAGTCCTTATCATGCTTAAGTTTTCGTCAACGATAAATATATGTTACTAGTCTTAACGGTAGAATTAATTTTCAGATTTCAGGTACCAGTTAAGATATGCGGGTAGATGACGTATACATAAATACTACAAAAGCAAACTTTTTTTTCAAAGGAACCTAAGTCAGCTTACAGTACAGCCACACGCGTTACACCATGTTATTTTCTTTCTTTTGTTCTTAACGTAGAACAATTGTAGAATCTCTGAATTGTAGTTTCGAATATCTCGACTAATAAGTACCACGCGACGCAACACGAAAATCTAACTCGGAACCCCTTAAAAATAAGATAAATAATCTAGCAAAGCTTTCTATACAAGTTAAAATTAAGAAAACATATCTAACTGCGCTTATTTTAAGGCATACTTGATGCGATCACGTGTTACCAGGGTATAGAGGTATATCTGTCCCTCCTCTTTATGATCCTTCATCTATCTTCAAGGGATACGTATGTATGACAAAATCAGAAAAATTAAAAAGTAGAAAGTAAATCTTTAATAACATTAGTAATTTGCTACTTAAAAACATACCTACATATTATCTGTTATCTTAATTATCCATAGTTAATGACACGGATTGGTTTCTTATTTCGGTCTAACAATTTCCGATCTACGAAAATCCAACGAGATCAAAATCACGTCTAGTACTATTTTAATGATAGCTTCTATCCCATTGAGCCATCTCTGCAAAAGCCCTTAGTCATACGTTTCGCTCAGAGCAATCAATTCCATGACTCATATCCCTATTACGAAGTCAGGGAGCCGAATCAAAAGCAGTAATCGTGATCTTAAAACTGACGCTAGTTTCTCATCCCATTATTAAAGTTAGATTATTCCGCAGCTTGCATGTAATCCAATCTCCTCATATGTAAGAAACTAAGTTGCGCACCGTTGGAGAATTTAATTTATATTTAATCATTCATCATTAACCATCGTTAATTTTTTATGCGTAAACAACAAATTATTTTGCCCCGGCCGCTTGTTGCATTGTTGCGTCTGTACGTAGCTAACTGCAAGTTTACATAAGACAGACTGTAATCATGTCGTGCAATCTACCGTATTGCAGTATAATGAACCTGACTGATAAAGTTACCGACATATTAATATTATAGTGAAGTAAGTAATTAACAGTTACCTAGAATCGCTAGAATGCAACGGCCATTGTATGCCGAATATCTTCAATCTGGCCGGGGGACGCCTCTTCTGCTCGGTTCGAGTGTTCTCTTCAACGGGTGGAGTGTGATGTCTACTGCCTGATGAAGCCCGAGTGCCACTTCTGCGACGCCTACGACGCCTTCTCTCAACCAAAATAAAGTTATCCCCGTTCCTGATAATGTACGATGAACGGAGTGTCGACTTCTCCTCGCCCTGCCTTTGTCTTATCAAGTCAGCTGTTCTCAATGTGTGTATATTCTGATACTCGGCCTCCTGTGGTTGTGGAGCAGGGGCTGGCGTCACTTCCTTGCTTGTGCTAGTCCCGCTTCCATCCCTCTTCTTGCGGGAGGAATGGAGACCAACTCGACGCCAAACCTTTTCCATCTGTGTCTAGTGTCATCCCATTATTATTCCCACTAATCGTCGCAATTTCAACGCGACCAATCACTTGTCACTGTAGGTACGCACAATCACAATATTTACTGAAGCATTTATTCCAGAAAGATCGTGGAATTGTTCACAGAATTTCACCGAATATGTCCGAGATTCCCACATAAATATTAACACAAATGAATCACTGTCCAATCAGCCGTTCCCTGTCATTGTTCGGGTTGATAAATATTTCAAGAGTCCTCAACGAATCCTCGGCTCCCGGCCGGAGATTACGTGTCAATGTTCAAATCACAGAAATCAGGGCGTATATCATTAATTTCTCTTATTAAGACGTACTAGGTTAGTAGAATTAGGGGAGAGAATAACGTGTTTTTTGACATCGCACTTGCAGAAGTCCCGGCCCTAACAGGGTGCGGGTGCAAGCTTTGCGCATGCGTGATCCCCCTTCACCCGTAGCCCCGTCTGACCGAAGCTCCAAAATGGCGGACCTCCGACCCCTTCCCGTTATTGAATATCTAATTTTATCGCCGTGCATTTATTGTATTCGGCTGCAATGCATTCACGGCCTACTTTTATTATTATCCAGTTGCCTAGCCCGGTCAATAGCTTACGTATAAAATTAGAGAACTTTAAGCAACTTTGGCGCGATGAGATTCAGAGCTTTTTACCCGCGTAGATATCTACATCGAGAAATTTCCTTTATAATTACATTTTTATTTATTTTGCGATGTAGGAATTCCACGATCGAAGTAGATACTCTTTTAATAAACAAATTACTTTACTGCCTCAGTAATACCTCCCACCCGCCTACTTAACTTCCCCCTAGGGCCTAGAGCGCTGCTTTGATAACTCTTCCAAAGTATGAACATTAAGTTGGTACATGATATACTTCAACTTCTATACAAAGTTCCTATTGCTTTGCTAAAGTTAAGTAAGCAGAAGAAACAACTACGTAGGTATAATAGCTATCTGCGACGGTATTCTAAGTAGGTACCTACTTAGATAGTATGTATGTAGTTGTTTTGATTAAATGAAATGATTTCAGATGAAATGAAATTATTTCAGATGAAATGAAATGAATGAAATGATTTCAGATGAAATGAAATGAAATGAAATGAAATGAAATGAAATGAAACGAAACGAAACGAAACGAAACGAAACGAAACGAAACGAAACGAAATGAAATGAAATGAAATGAAATGAAACGAATGAAATGAAAAAGAGTTTATTTGGCATACTTACGGCATGAATGCAAGGATGCAATGCAATCTCCGAATTTATTTATTTTTTCGAACAAAAAGGAACATACTTTTGACCCCTTTTTTCAACAGGAGTGGAAAGGCTAGGCAGCATTGAGCATAGTATATACAAAACAAATTAAGTTACCTAATGTAAATTGTATAGAATATACTTAAGTACTTTTCACTAGGTACCTACTTATGTTAATATGGTTAAAAAAGTCTAGTATTAAATAGACGAACCTATTCCTAAAGCCGTAACTGAGCACAATTCAGAGGTCTTAGTACGAGTTTCGTTTTACGTTTAAAATACCTAATCGAAATGAGTATGAGTCCGGCGCCCTGATTTGTTGGTTCCTTGCAGCCGGCCAAGCTGACGCCTTCGTATGAGTTTGTTTTATGTTTAATAAATTAATTGAAAAGAGTATGCGTCCGCCGCTCTGATTGGTTGGTCCCTTGCAGCCGGCCAATCAGAAGCCTTCGTACGAGTTTGGTTTTACGAGTAGTACAAGTCTTCGTACGAGTTTCGAACACTGCCTCGTTTCGATTACTTTAAATCCTTATCCTTACTAATATTATAAATTTGAAAGTGAGTTTGTTTGTTCCACTTTCACGCCGTGAATACTAAACCGATTGCTTTGAATTTTTGCAGACGTAAAGTTAAAACTCCGGATTAAATAATAGGGTACTTTTTGACCCGGAAAAATTTGATATTCCCGAGGGAAAACAAAAGTATTGGTATAGATGGCGCTGTGTGCAATGGTATATGTCACATAGGCTACTTTTTATCCTTTTGTGACGCGAGCGAAGCCGCGGGTAAAAGCTAGTATAAAATAAATTCGTAGGTACTGAGGCTTCTGAACTCTATGCTACTGCCAGTACTAAAAAACCGGAGAGTGAAAATCATAGCGATTCACACGTTCCGGAAATTGAACCGAAACCTCTGACTCAGCAGTTGTGCACGCAACTATTCGACCTTAGCGTAACCCACTTAGTTGTTTAAATATAGTTATTTACCTACTGTTTAAATAAGTAGATTATGTTATTAAAAATAACGACAAGAGCATTGACCTTTTTAATTGTTTGTACTGAGTAAACTTCTTTCCACATTATGCTGAAATTGTAATGTCAGCCAAACGCATAAATTACGAGTCTGGCTTTGTCTTGCGGCAACCTGTTAATATATATCTGTGCTGTTAATGGACGTGATTAGGAAGTTATTAATCAAAATAGTATATTTTGTTTACTGTCTCTCTTATGCCTACAGCTTCTGGGGACGTGTGTGACCGTGAAGATACCTTATAAAAGGTCCTACCGCAAAGCACCACTAGATGGCGTTGCCTGCCAGTTTGACGCTACAAAAAGGATGGAATAAAATGATAAATTATAAAATAAGTTACAGGTATACACGTATAGTATGTTTTTTTATTAATGAATACATTATCTTAAAATGTGAGCACAGTGCAGATTCCTCTACAAGGGCAGAAATTAGAAATCGCGTGGCAATTTCGAATACCGCAAAGGTCCCTGAATATCGTCATGTACGAACCCAAAAGAACAATTAAATAGTTAGGTATGTGAACAATTAGAAACTTTAAAATTAAATTGTAAGGTTAGGTAGGTATCTGAAAACCTAGTAGATACACAAACAAATCTAAAGAACAAACAGAATGTGATATATCATCGATTATTCAAGTCGGGCGCGATGGCGCACGCGACACGTTAAGTGAATGTATATCAAAATCAAACATAACACAGCGACCAATAGGAACACAAAACCGCTGTTGCGTCATCGCGACAACGACGCAACACGAACTCCGCCATGTCGCGTAGCCGACATGACGCGATAGCCAGTCAAACTCGAGCTCGAGTAACAAGGTGACGAGCGACATTCTCACAAATATGTCTGATAATAAAACCGTACAATTAGTGAAAGCAATCGAAAAGTTTCCATGCCTATACAACTACAATATGCCAGAATACTTAAAAAAGGATTTTAGTGATAAAGCATGGCAAGAAGTTGCTAGTCAAACTCAGCTCGCGGGTAAGCCGTTTTAATTGTTCAAAACAACTAGCTGGTAGCTACGTACAATGACATGTAGGTAGGTTTAGCTAGCATTACATACATCTTATGCGATACATACATCTGTGGTTGATAGGTGGGTACCAACAGGGAGAAGTCGTTGTTTATAGTTAACTTGACATTGAATAAGTAGGTAAACAAACGCATTATTGCTACAAACAAATAACGCTCTTGTATTTTTTTTACTGAGATAAATGCAACAGTTAAGTAGGTACTTAGCTAAACTAATTATTCGTCCTATTGTAGGTAGTTTAGATACAATTTTGGCTTGTGATACAAATGTAACATATAGAAGTGTTTTTTTTTTCAGTTGGGGAATGCAAAGAAAAGTGGAAAAATCTAAGGTACGGCTTGCTGCGAAGTTTAAAACTAAATCCAGATGGATCAGAAAAAAAGAAATATTATTTACATGATGACATGGAATTCGTGCTACCATTTATCAGAACTTACAGAGCTGACCCTATAGTTTTCCAACAAGTAGACGCTGAAACAGATGAGGAAATGAATGGTCTTAACGATCAAGATAATGAAAGTGCCCCACTGCAAATTCAATATCAAGAAATAGAAATATCTGAACCACCAAGAAAGAGATCAAGAGAGAAAACTAATGATAATTTTATAAAATATTTGCAACAAAAGCCAAGTAATATTTCGAACAACAATGAAGTGAGTGACGATTCAAGAAAAATGTTCTTATTAAGTTTGTTGCCTGAAGTTAACGCATTAACCGAATGCCAAATGAGAATGTTCCGAAGAAAAATTTTTTCACTGTTAGACGAAATTGTAGATAGTCCAAGTCAATACGAGACGTGTTTATTTCAATGGCAAAAAGAATCCATGAATCAGGAATCACACAAAAGTTCAGAAACAATTAAACAGGAACCACTTTGATGACACGAAGTCGATGAACCGATGAAAGAAATACTAATTCGATTGTATATAATTTTATTGAAGGTGGGATACCTACTATTATGTTCGTAAATTAATTTGGTTACTGTTTTTCCTTAGATAGCGCCATCTGAAATCAAAATACACACCTACAGAAGTAGGTACGACAGAAGTCCAAGAGATGGCGTCAAGTTACCAGTCTATTGCTAATTTTGATTTCTTCAGGTGTATGTACAATGTGTAATAAAGAAAAACGGTTATTATAACAAAAAATATTTATTATTCATGAATTCATGTACTTATATCCAAATAAATAAATATGCTCTGCTGAAAGAATATTGATGATCGATTACAAATTATTGTACAAATGCAAAATAAAATGCCTGTTTGAGTTGGCAAGCAAACTATTTAATAGGAGCATTCTTCATTGATTTAGTAGTAACAGGATTTCCATTGACTTTGCTAATCAATTTATTATCTTGCCATACTGCTAGAAGAGAGTCATTGGTTTTTAGGTCAACTTGCAGTTTTTCCCATACCTTTTTCTTGGGATTCAAAACATCATCAGGTTCTCCTGTTTCATACCCTTCTATAACCACTCTATCACCTGGCTTGCTACCCTCTGGGGCCAACAGGGGTTCAACCTGTTTAGGCTCATCAACAGAAGCACATAGCACCATTCCTTTAGATTCAATACCTCGCATTTTGGCAGGTTTTAAGTTACACAGAACTACTACATCTCGGTTCTGCATTTCTTCTAAAGGCACAAAGTTAACCAATCCTGATACAACAGTTCTAGGTTCTTCCTCTCCTAAATCTATCTTTTCAACGTAGAGAGCATCTGCATCCGGATGTCTTGAAACTTCAACTATGCGCCCCACTCTAATATCAAGTTTAGAAGGTGTTATTTCATCAGCTGTCTGTGCATTTCCTTTAGATTTAGCTGGAGGTGGGTATGCCTTCTTGGCTAGCTCTTGGAGATGAGGCTGTTTGAATATTTCTTGAATAGGACCTAAAAGTTTGTTGATAGCTAACTCAACACTAGCCTTTAGATCTCCTGGGTGAATTTCCTGTTTAGCATAGGCACTTTCCAGATCTTCAAACTTGGTAAACTCAACATTACCACCATGCTCTGGTGCTCTAGTAATTTTGAAAGTCTCATCTCCCTTCATCAAAGGAAATACAACATATTTAGTGAATGACAAAACACCATTATCAGTAATATTACCAGGTTCACAGAAAGCCTTTTTCAACTTCTTCTTTACATTAGCTGGGTTGTCTAATAAATCAATTTTGCTATCTTCTTCAGATGCAGACATTTTTCCTCCTGTTAGACCAGGAACCATAGGATTCATTAAATGTACCCTTTTAGCATACCCTAACTGAGGCAAATACTTTTCAGCCATAGTAAATATTTTCCTTTGATCTACTCCACCAAATTGTGCATCTACTTTCAAATATTCTTCATCTAATGCTTGGAGGCCGGGGTATAACAGACCACTGAGTAATGGATGATCAACTTGTTTTACAACTTCTGCTCCAGCCTTTCTGGCATCGTGGTCTGTGACTACAGACGACATGCGATATACATCAAGTGTGTACTCTTTGCTAAGCTGATAATCAGTGCCCTTAACAAACTTCAATTTATCCAGTGGTACACCAATTGATTGAAGCATAGCTTTAATGGCAGCTTCATAGTATTGTACACGGAGATTCAACAGATCCCATGGTGCTTTCATATTATCTAAATAAGCATGTAAATCCGCAAATAAAATAGTCACCTCACAACCAGCTACTAAGAAGTCTGCTATCTTCGACATTGGAACAAAATAAGCGACATGGGGTCTCCCAGTTGTTGCTGTGCCCCAGTAAATTTTAAGATCCCTTTGCTTCAAGATTTCTGTAAGCCTGTCATCGCCCAATACTTCTTGTAAATTACGAGTTATAAGCGTTTTCTTTTCCTCCATAGTAGCCATGGTTAAAAATTCACCAAAATTCTGAAAAAAGAAACAAATCTAGGTTAAGACACGAGAAATTTGGAAAGGTTTTCATTACATTACTAGAATATTTATCACAGATAAGTTCAATGTAAAATGAAAGTTACCTGCCGTCTGTGATAAAATTTCAAATGTTCAATCAATGAATAGGCTCAAAACCAATATTCATGAATATTTTTTAACTACACGTACAGTAAGACAAATATTCATACGAGAAATAATAACACGTAAGTGAGCTGTCTTACGAAACTAGATGAAACATAACCTCTAACGTTGAGATTAGTAAAAGTGTTCAAAACTAACCAAAACTCACAAAATTTATGTTAAAACGATAAAGTAAACGCTTTTAGTGTGTTTTAAATTACCACATTATAGATTTTCATTTGTTAATGAGTAAAAATTAAAAAAATATTGGAATTTTGACAAGTCTGAAGTTAGCTACAGTTCAAAATACTTGTTACCAACTGCTAATTGGCGCTGCTGTCGCAGTGAATGCTCGCGTTTCCTGTCAAAAGCGCCATTGCGCATGACAGTCAGTGCGGCCTTGCAGACTGAGAGCGCTGCCAACAAAGGCCGAGTCGATGGGGTTACAAAAAGATTGTTAATTTGGACTTCTAAAACCCTTTTGTTGTTGTAATTATAATTTTATATAGGTTGTGAATTTGTGATTACGGTTAAGAAAATGTGTGAATGATATGAATCGTGACGACTAGCAAAGGAGTCAGCTGGTCCACAGTGCGAATAGTGAATAAGAAATGGCGGCCTTGCCAGCAGGTGTTCAGTATGGGTTATCATCGGAGTCTAGTTATAAAGAAAACAAGGAACTAGTGTTTGTGAAATTAACGGATTCAGCGCTTAAAGCTATTGAAGACTTTCTTAGAAATAATAGGGTAAGTACAATCGCCATATTGTTATACCAAAATAAAGATAAGCCAACAATGTCAGGCGCCATACTTATATTACAGTAATTGAAATGAAACTGCAAATTTAGAAGGTTTATTCGAACAAATCTGTTTTCTAATCATGTTAATTGGCTTCAAAACAAGTTTAGGTAGGTAGCATTGCGATATAAACTCCTCTCCAATGTCACGCCACGTCAACATGTAGAAAATTTGCTCTGTTATTTTCACAGATTTACATTTCATACGGCTATAATTAGAGAATTCGGACTTATTGTTGCGGAATTCGACGTTTACCGTGGAGTTGTGTTACAAATCGTGGTTTTTTACTCGCTACCGTTTCACGTAAAGAGAGATTGTGCCCCTGTAAGACATATCAAATGAATTCAGAATAAAAACATTCGTGATGAAGACTTATCTAGTTTACGTACTGGAAAAACACCACGCAGTATTTGTCGATGTTGTTGATTGTAGTATGTAAACCAAATTAGTGTGTTAATTAGGGTACTACAATTCTCAGTAAAAAGATTTGCATTACCAGTGGTAATAAATTGATCAACAACTTGTTTTCAAAAGGACTGCAGCTGATATTAGAACTGTGTTTCAGAAAGTAGAATTGATCATGTTTGGTCATTACTATTTAAAATGTTCAAGCATTAATATACACTGAACTTACTTGACAACAATACTATTTTCAAAGCATTCACTGGATGTTTAATACAGTAAAGGTACCGTATTTAAAAATTACCACATGTAGATAGTTTGTCTTCTGGAACATAGTTACTTGCATAATGACTGCCTAAATATTGCAATTTTTCATATGTTCTGATGAAATGAAATGAAAACTGAAATTACCATTAAATTTTCAATGTCAAGAATCATGCAATATTGAATAATATTGCTGGTTCATGATTTACTGGAGTGAAGCAGAACTAAACATACAGTTCTGAATCTATCTCACAGATTTCATCATGCTTCTGCAATATTATTGTTTCTCCTATAATATAAATGAAAGTATTTAAGGATACTGATCCTTATTTAGCATATAATAAGAAACAACTACTGTTTAATGAGGATTACATTTCAAGGCAACATTTTTTCTTTGCGCTAATCAATGATTCTTTACTTAGTACAACATTATGACACAAGATGGCGCTGTGTGTTTGCTAATGATAATGTTTCACTCGAGTAATTATCTATTATATTTATGAAGTATGGTTACAATTTGCTAATAAATAATATCATTATTTTGTACCGTATACAATAAATAGGTGTAATACAGAATAAATTAGTTTTAAGAATTATAATTAAATTGTTGTAAGTACAATGAATATGAACATCCTGTTTGCCATAGAAGGTTCTACAAATGCTACACATACTTTAATTAAAGGAATAATATGTGTTGGCCTTTTAAGGTGTACATTTTATTCACTTTTAAAGTATGTCTTACCTTTTATTGGCATACAATATCTTAAGAAATAAAAAAGAATGCCTTCACCTGATTCTTTATTCTAAAAAACTTAGACATATACTAAATATAATTTGATTTTCTTAGAAATATTACGAGAAGTACTGTTATACAAAGTAGGTAATGATATTTTGAAGTACAATTAAAATATACTCTCAAGAATCTTTCAACCTTTCAAGTAATCAAATTTCAGACATAACAAACTCTTAAATAATGATGTAGATAAAAATCTAAACTGAAAACTTCCTACTTAAGCTGTGAATTATTAAAATAACTGCTAACCTACTTGCATACTAAAAAGTTTCTAATCTAGGTCATCAAGTTACAAGTTGATTACCACCTTACAGTCTAGTCAGCTAGAGGTATTGATTGGTACCAGGTGAATAACTATCTACTGTCCTGCTCTAAAGCATTCAATTACAAACAGAAGCAGGTTGAATATATCAATATTTCACAATGGATATAGCCAATGGTGATCAATATAAAATTAATTTAGATGCTACTATACTTTCATACACATTTCAAATTATAGACAAAGTTGTTTTGCAAAGTTTAATGAATGAGTTACTGATGGTTGCAACAACATTGTTGAGACATTATTGATAACTTTACAACACTATTAACTACCTGACACATGCTAATATGAATAAAAAAATATGAGTTTGTTAATTTTAGATTGATAAACAGTTGCTCTAACTTGATATATAAAAATGGATCAATATAGTAAATTGACATGTCAACATAATTCCTTCAGTTCACATAAATGGAATTGACAATTTTGTAAGGCATTCTATGTATTTGACAATGCTTTACACACAATGATGCATTACTTAGAAGTGTGGGAAAGAAAACAAGGTTCATTTAACTAAAGCCATACACACTAGGAAGTAGAAATATTGAGAAGAAAAAACAGCCAGCCTACTTAGATGCTGGTGAAAGTTATTTACTCAAAAGTTAAAAGAGCAAATAAAACTCTCCTAATAAATGGCATTCTTAATTATCGTTTTTATGCATAAAAAATGAAAATAGATATGCTCATAAGTTTTATGTAATACTTCTTGCTCTGACTTATGAAAATGAAATTCGTTATTGTTGCAATTATATTTAAAGAGGACAAGGTTGCTGCACTTGTTGCATGTCCAAACTGTAGAGAGTGGCCTATTATGTTACTAAATTACATTTGTCTAACACTTCATTTTGGATAATAGGGACTTTATTTGCTTTTGAATTTAGGTGTAGTGTAAATATGCGCGTTATCTTTATGAAGGTTTTATTATTAGTCACATTATGAAATACCATGTACACACTTAAAACTAATACAGCTTCACGTAACCTAATATATCCAGATTTCAGTAGATAATTATGAATATAATTAAATAATAAATATTAACCTACCTACATTAGTTGTGTTAATAAATATCTTAACATAATGAAAGTTTCTGCAATTAAAATTTACCAACAAAATTAAGGATTTAGGTTGTTGTTTAATTTTCAGAGTAGTAAACTGTCTATTGCAGTAAAGTTACTTAGTTATTCCATTAAAATTATGTAAGTGGCTGCCTAATTGTCTGTAATAATAATTAAATAATGAATACTGGCACAGCAGCGGTCAAGTCACCTTTCTAAGCAAAATATCACAAAGAAAGTAAACTGGTTTTCAGCCTGAAACCACATAGAAACAATAGTTTCTCTAATCAAGTCAATGCCCATACTAAAGAGATGTTGGTAACTTGAATAACAAAAAATAAAAACCAGTTTTGTGTGAGTTTTTTAAACTGTTTCCTTATGTTACGTTGAGCAAAAAATATCATCCTGCACCTTTGCATAAACAAAACACTTGAGCCTGCAGTGTATTTTGTATTGATCGGCGTATATTTTTTTGCCGTGGAATCAAATAAAAGACACCTTTGGGTAAAGCTGATATTAAAACTCGTTTCCTGGTAATCTTATTCGTAAGTAAATACCTACCTACGTATTAAAGTATTTACCATTTCTAGTGCTACATCAGATTGCTCCTATTTCTAAATCGCAGGCATTCGGCGCGTGTCTAGCCGTTTGGGCCCAGTTTCGCAAACTCCGTATATTAGGTAAGCGAATCGGGCGCATAGCCGCAATGACAATGTTCGGGCGGCGCCCGCGCAGGTGAAAGTACCAACAGCTGCCGGATTACTTTATAGTGCAAAAAAGATTTCCTCTAAATTCTAAACCCCAGTCACTTGCTCACAAATTGCTCATCGTAGTTATTCAAATTAATTGCGAAATTAAAACCAGTGTCATAATAAAGCTGCAATTAAATTATCGCACAATTGTGTTTATTTGAATAAGAGAATTTTCATAGTCATGATGTTTCTCAACTATTAGATGTCTTGTTGACAGTTGTAAAGATAATCTAGTTTTCCCTACATGTAGTGCGACCTCGTTTAATGTGATTTACGACACCTCATTAACGTGCATCTGTTTCATTACCATTGATAGAGCGTCATTATCAAAATCACTACGATTAGTTAGTGGAATGAGGACACCGATTGGTATTTTTTATTATTATTTTATGAAAAGGTCGCATTCACTTCCATTTGGCGTTATGTTGGTATCTTTGAGTAATGACGCGGGTATTAGAGGCAATGTAATTAGTTTTGCAATAGCTATTTTCAGCTTTAATGACTATTTGTTAAAGTAACTAATTTCTATTTGTGCGTATATTCTATAAAAGGTATGTTATGCGCAGTATTGAAATACATGGTGTTATTATCTGAACTAATTAATGTAGGTAACGTTGTGACTCATTTACTGTTTCTAATGATTTTATGAAACGTGATAGTTTGTTGGTATGCTTTCCACTAACGTAGATAATAAATATAATTACCAGCAAATGCGCCTAGACTTCCATCGTTACAAATCATTGATTATGACTGGTAATAGTTATCGTAGCGTTCGAAGTTCATCATTATTTCTAATGATGACATTTACTGGTATCTTACATAATAATGTTTATATACAATTATTTTAGTACTCATAAACATAAATTAAATACATAGATTGGTACTTTGTGACGATATAAAAAAACGACGTAAACATGTTTATTTATAAGCCGGTGGGTTTTGTTTACAATGGCCGATATTGGCCCCTCGACAAGACACCTACGTAGGTACTTACATTGTAAAATTAAATACCTAGGATATTGCTATCAAATCTCACAGTTGGTGAGCTGCTTTATTCTTCTAAATCGTCAAATCAGAGTATAACTATATTTCGTAAACAGCTTCGAAAATATTTCCTGTTTATATTTCACAATATTGTGCCTAAATATTGATACTGAAATCCCTATATCTCATTGATTTCCAAGTTAATACACATTGTGGTCATGAAATTAATAAAGTTAATTATCGTAAACAATATTAAGTACGAGCTATCAAATATTTTAATACTTTAATGTTATGTAATTGCAATATAATGACTCGACTCTATTAGTTATGATGATAAATCGCTGTATTATCACGAATATCAGTTTGTTTCTAATTTTCAT